TTGCACAGTCCGAAGGGCATCACAGTAAACTGATAGAGCGGTCTCCCCGGTACAGTAAATGCTGTCTTTTCTCTGGATTTCTTATTCAACGGGATCTGCCAAAAGGCGTCCTTCAAGTCAATTGCAGAAATGTATCTCGTGTTTTGTAGTCGGCTAAGTATTCCGTCAACGTGTGGTAGTGGGTAGGCATCCTTAATTGTCCTCTCATTAACTTTACGTGCATCTAGACAGAGTCGGTGCTTAGTACCTTTAACTACTAACGACACTGGTGAGCTCCAGCTGCTGTTGGACTCCTCTATCACACCCATGCTCAGCATTCTGTCCAGTTCTTGGTATACTAGTTTCTGTATTGCGGGTGAAATGGGGTAATGTCTTTGTTTGACAGGGAGGTTCTCATCGTGTACTTCAATAATGTGCTCTTCCATGTCAGTTCGACCTAGGCCTAAAACAGCGAATGAAGGGAACTGAGCCTTCACCCTCTCTAAGGCAATAGTTTCGTCCGGGGTGAGCACATGCTGCACTGCGTCGAAGGACAGGTCACCCTCAGCGGGCGCGAGCTCTGCAACTGTAGCGTGGACTGGACGCGACTTAGCTCCCCTACTTACAACATTTAGGTCGAACGCCCTCCAAAAATCGATGCCCAAATACACCTCTTGCTGTAACCCTGGTACTATTAAAAATTCTAGTTCCCTTTTCATTTCATCCCATACCACGGGCAACGTGATTACACCTGTCACTGGGGTCTCGCCTCCATTAGCGGTTTTAATATTTTGGTTGCTTATATGAATGATGTCTTCCTTTTTTCCTTCTAGAAATTTGCTGGCATTTTTACCCAGACAACTGGCTCCTGCGCCTGAATCCAACAAAGCTAACGCGTCTACGCCTCCTATTTTCGTTTGTGCAAAAAATCTATTATCGCCCTTCAGTGTGACAATAGTGGACACTATCTTATTATAAATTCTTTTATATGATTTTTTCTTATCTCTCATATTTCGTATTTTTCTGAAATTCCTATTCCTTTTCTTTTCCATAATTGCTTCACAAAATATCCTATTCCTAGCTTCTTCGTATTCCTGTTTCCTAACATGCAAGCTTTTATATTCACATTTTTTTCCTAACCCTATGTTCTCTTTAAATTCACTATCTCCTTCTTTCTTCAAAATTTTTATTGCTGGGTGCCCGGGTGCTCTTTCTCCTGGCTGAGAGTCCCGGTCATCTCGGCCAGATTTGCATTTCCCTTCCCGGGCTTGAACACACAAAATGAGTTGTCGCCCCCGCAGGAAAAACAGACCATGTTATGGGAGCTTGATTTGCATCGCGTCTCCTTCTTCGCCTCAGCAGGATCCTTCGCAAAATGGTCAACCGGCATCCCGCACGAGAAGCACAACATCAGGTGAAAGGGCGATGGGCAAAAAGAATTAATGGTAGGTTTGGGGATAGCCGCCGTTGCAGCCGTAGGCACGCTGTACTGTGTCACGGTTTGCAACTTGTTGTCAGGCAGTTGGCCACTGGTCACCTTGCTCCTAAATCGATGGTCCATCGCTTCAACTGGTTTCGGATTACCTGGACCATGTAGATCTGAGTACTCCAGTTCGTTTATCCCTTTGGCCCTACTTCGATTCTCCCTAATTACTTTTTCTGCTCGTCTGCACTCCGCCTTTAGCTCCGCTAATGTGTCCATTTTTGAGGCAAACGTCAAGTTTGCTAGGTATGGCTTCAAATTACCCTTAATGATACCTACTAGCTCCTTTTCAGGGATCTTTGTACGTAACCTGAACGTTAAATTATGGACTTCTCCGTAGAAGTCATCAAATCCCTCCTGTGCCAGCTGTTTTCGTTCCATGATTTCCCGGATTATCTCGTAATCGGACTCTGCGGTTTTAAAGTGGGCCAGCAGTTCTGCCTTCAGACCGAAATACCCGAAGCTCAGGTCATCAGCATGGTCTTCTAGTACCTGCCAGTACCACTTCAACGCAGAGCCCGACACGAGACAATGGAAATCAGTAAACAGCTGGTAGTGAGAGATTTGATGCTGTTCCCGCATTTTCTCGATGCGAAACAAAAAACTTTCGACCGTCATATCTTTCCCTGTTCCATCAAACTTGATGTGCCACTTTTCAAGGTCGATCTTTTTTCTCTTCGGTGGCTCGTGTTCGTCTTGAACCTTATCAGACGCTTGACTTTCCTCGCGACTTTCCTCCTCCTGGTGACGGGCCCCGTTTCGTTGTCCCCTATTTTCAGGCGTCGATGCACGAGCGGCGCGGTGACCCAGTGCGTGAGCTGCCGATGTTTCCATTTCGGCTACTCGGCCGCTGAGGTTAACTACGTTAGCTCTCATGTTACTGGCCTCGTTCATACACTGCGCGACCATGTCGTTTTGCTGCGCCATCATCGCCATCATACGGCTCAGTTGCTCGACACTTGTCGCAGTGTAGGTCGGTTCACTCCTCTGAGCCTTCGAAGCCCCAGCTTGAGAGTCTCCTGGCTGCCCACTCACCCCGTGATCATCGCCCCCCTCTGCACCTGGTTGATTTGGTTCGGACATTTGGAGCAATTCCTCTAACTTTCGTGAAAAACTACCACTTTCACCCCCCTGACTCGACAAATCTCCTAGAATGGACACACTAGCTTGACGTTCAGTCTCACTTTCAATCTGGCCAAAAATGCGGGCCGCGCACCTATTGAAGAAATCTGTCGGAACAAAGTCCACTGGATACTGAATCCCGGTATCAATTTGGTTGAATAGTGAGCCAACTACCTGATTTTCAAGGGCGCGCGTGACACTACGCGTGACCGGCCTATCTGTGTTGAACAGCCCCAAACCACCAGTAACCCTTTTCGCACTATTATTTTCCGACATTCACTCAATCATTCATCCAATCAAACAATCTCGCGATCAGCGCCGGAAGAGAAATCGCGTTGATGAAATTAATTAAGATAAAAATCCAAATACCGGATGTTGAGTTCGCTTACGCTTATTGTAAAGTTGTAATATGTATATCATTAACATAAAGGTTAAGGCAGTAGTGTTTACAAGGGTTAACTTTGCGACTCTAAACAAGAGTTAATACCAGTTGTTATTTGACATTTTGGCTATTCTTTCTCTTCCCCTTTCGTTTTTGCTTTGAACTGTAACTAGCTTTTTAGAGTACTTGGTTTTTCGCTCGCTCAAGTGCTGGTTGGATTTTTACAGCCGCTTATTAACTTTTTTCGCTACGATCTCCCGCTTTTTATATACGTTAATCCGCCTTGGATAATTCCGCATAAAAACCTATTGAATCTATTAAGTTAAGTATATACCAAATAAAGGAAAGTGAATTCCGAATAAACTGCCTTTTACTTAATCCGCATTGGTCGCTTAGCTTTGATGCAACCATATATACGCAAGTAATCCGCCGCAACATTTACTGGTCCTTCGCACCGGATAGCTAATACTGCTCGCAATATATGTACATTACACAAAAACGTTTGTTCATAAGCAAGTGCACAATATAGTAAAAAATCTGAATTTTTTACAAAATTAGTCGTGCGTCGCCCGCTCTGTACAAACATTATTCGGTTTACCCGCCTACAAAACGTGGTGCTATTTTGTTAAACGTGACCTTGCAGTGACACTGAAGGACATTCGAACGACTTTGATTTGTCCTCTGCAAGCAATTCGCGAAACCAATCTTGACCTACGAAACAACAGCGAAAGTAAAAGTAGCAATGTCAAATTCGGTAAAGTCACGCGATTCTGCGCTTAATGCCATCAAGCGCTACATGGCAAAGAGCATCGATGATGCATTTACGATGGATGCTGAATCCGTGACAAGTTATCTGCAGCTGTTGAATGAGCAATGGGCCCGATTCAGCGCAGCTCAAGATGCAGTGGAAAATTCCTGTGGAGCCGACAACACGGATTTGGAGGAAAACGTACGAATTCAAGCCGAAACTTGGTACTCTACTGCATTGGCGAATTTCAACCGGGTACAAAAGTGTCGTACAGAACCTCCAAGTCAGCATGCGACCACACCAACAACCATATCTGCCTCTATACGTTTACCAAAGATGGAGCTACCATCATTTTCGGGCGATTCCACCGAGTGGGTAGGTTTTTATGACGCGTTCTGCTCGCTGGTTGATACAAACGCCGCATTGTCGGACGGCCAGAAGATGCATTACTTACGCAGCTGTTTAAAGGGTGATGCATTGAAGATCATTAGCGGCTTCAAGATCAGCGACGCTAACTACAAGGAGGCATGGGATCTGTTGAAGTCTCGTTTCAAAATCATGCGAGTCATTGTTGAGGCGCACCTTAAAGCAATGGCTGACATCCGAAAAGCCGCAAGGGATACTGCCAGTGCTATCAAAGGCGTTCTCGACGCATATCAGCAGCATATTCGAGAACTGAAGGCTTTAGGTCGCCCCGTCGAATTCTGGGACGATTGGTTAGTGCACGAGGTGGTAAACAGATTAGCATTTGAGACCAGGAAGCAGTGGGAGCTATCCCTTGTTACTGACGAGCCCCCAAATTTCGATCAATTAGCAACATTTTTGGAGGTGAGGTGCCGATCACTATCGATGCTTTCAGCAGCAGCTGCCCCGCCACAAGGCAGTAAGTCGACTACAGCAAGCAGGTCCACCAAGGTTTTCCACGCACTACCGGAGCAGAACAGTGTGAGTTGTCCCTATTGCAAGGGAGCTCATAAGATTTACTCATGCGATAAATTCAATCCGCTGGATTCTACCGCTAAATTAAAGTTCGCTAAAGAGGCACGACTTTGTTTAAATTGTTTGAGCTCGGGTCATTTTAAGTCTCGTTGCAATAGCACATCGGTATGTCGAACTTGTCGCCAACGCCATCACACTCTACTACATATCGCTGCAACCGCAACCAGTGAGGCCACTACAGCTGAAAATATAAAACAAGCAAGCTCTAACTACGCCACCGCAGATACCGCTCCTCTTAACAATGAAACCGCTGCACCCGCAATCGATTCTTCGATGGATCCCGCTCGCGGATCCTTTTCTTCGTGCTTAAATTCTGATGCTGACCCACTACCTGTAAACCAAAGGACCGTTCTGCTTGCTACAGCTCTAGTAAAGGTGCGCGATTCCGCCGGTCGCTGGCAACCGGCACGTTTGCTGTTCGACTCTGGGTCCCACGCATCTTTTGTAACGGAGTCGTGTGTTCAACGCCTGGGTCTACCCAGAACGTCGTCTGCCGTAGTCATCACAGGAATTGGGTCATCACAAGGAGGACGAGCTAGAGGCGAGGTTCTACTTTCGCTTTCGTCATATTATTCAGACAAATGTTACACGATCAACGCTCTGATTCTGCCGAAAATTACGGGAGATTTGCCAACGCAAACATTGGCTCCGTCGACATGGCCGCACATTCATGGGCTATTCTTAGCAGACCCGCAGTTTATGAAGCCTGGTCGCATAGACATATTGGTCGGCATGGACGTTATGGACCAGCTAGTTTGTCCGGAAATTCGCAAGGGTCAATTGGGTATGCCTATGATGCAGCGAACGGTCTTTGGGTGGACACTATTTGGTAGAGTGGACGGTTCATCAATGCCGAGTCTACAGGCATTACATTGTGATGTACGATTAGAAAGAGCACTTACAAGGTTGTGGGAGTTAGAAGAGACCCCGCACAAAATGCATCTGACCGCTGAAGAACGCTTTTGCGAAAAACACTTCGAATCAACGCACCTGAGGTCACCTGATGGTCGATTTATTGTCGAGTTGCCGCTGAAACCTGATGTGCCGCTGGGAGATTCTCGAAGCTTTGCTGTTCGTAATCTGTTCCGGATGGAGAGAAAGCTGGCTGGCGACGAAGAGTTACGTAGAAGTTACAATGAGTTCATGCAAGAACTCATTGACATGAACCATATGGAGCGGGTAACTGAAGCGGCAAGTCAAGCGTACTACATGCCACATCACCCCGTAGTAAAGGAGTCAAGTGTTACGACAAAGCTACGGGTTGTCTTCAACGCATCCGCTAAGACTACAACTGGGAACTCACTCAATGATGCACTATTTGTTGGACCGCAGCTGCAACAGGACTTGGTTTCGATACTCATGCGCTTCAGAACTCATCGGTATGCAGTAACTGCGGATATTGCGAAGATGTACCGCCAAGTCTGCGTATCATCCAATCACGTCGATCTGCAACGAATTGTTTGGCGTACTGATCCATCATTGCCTATCCAAGACTACCGAATGTTACGTGTCACTTATGGAGTAGCAGCTGCATCCCACCTAGCCGTTAAATCGTTACAGCAGACTGCAGCATATTCAGCAAATAAGTGTGAAAAGGCCGCTGCTGTCATACATAGGGATTTTTACATGGACGATCTACTGACTGGCGCTTCTTGTAAAGAAGAACTTCATTCATTGCAACGAAATATTTCCGAAATTCTCAGCGGGGGTGGATTCGAGCTTCGTAAGTGGGCGTCAAACTGTGTGGAGTTGAAGGACTGTATCTCCAACGCCTCCAAAAACATTTCGCACTACATAGCTGATGGGAAAGACGTTCACGCTTTGGGCCTCATTTGGAATACAGAAGAAGACTGCTTCACGTTCGCAATCAACCTTAAGCAACCCACTTCTATTTTATCCAAGAGAGCTTTCTTATCCGACGCCAGTACGCTTTTCGATCCGCTGGGATTGCTCGCTCCAACTACCATTAAGTCCAAGATGTGGTTTCAAGACATCTGGCGTGACGGGGTTAACTGGGATGACCTCATTCCCGAGACGATCTCAAAACAGTGGCTTGAACATCGCTCAGAACTACAAAAATTGGAAATGCTAAAGGTTAATCGCTGGCTTGGCTGTGGAACGCTTGGTTCAGTAACCGAACTTCACGTATTTGCCGACGCTTCAGAACGCGCTTACGCTGCCGTTCTGTATGCGCGCACCGTTCAAAGCGACGGCCATATCGCGGTCGCCCTAATATCGGCCAAGTCTAAAGTAGCGCCAATAAAGCCAACTACACTACCTCGTTTGGAGCTTTGTGCAGCGCATCTCGCTTCCAAGTTAGTGAGAAGCGTGTTAAATAGTTGGAATGATCTCCGCTATCCGTTGTACGCTTGGACGGATTCAACTATTACCTTGGCATGGCTGCAAGAACACCCCAGCAAATGGATGACATTTATAGCAAACCGCGTCGCTGACATCCAAGAGGTACTACCGCCTGAGTGCTGGAATCACGTCCGCTCCGAACATAATCCTGCAGACTGTGCGTCAAGGGGTATACCTCCGGCTGATTTATTGAATCACCAACTGTGGTGGACGGGACCTGATTTCCTGCTGAGCAGTAACCAGTTCTGGAAGCAAGCCGCAACAAAGCAGCACACTACCGAGGTTGGTATGCGCAACAAGGTTCCCGCTCATGTCGCGACTTCCGACTGTCATTGGCCAATGATAATGCACTACTCATCGTTCTCGAAGTTACGACGCGTCGTCGCTTATGTGATAAGATTTTTACGCCATGTTCGAGCTAAAGTTCAGCGCACCATTCAAAAGCAATACGGGCCTCCAAGCTGTCAGGAGATATTTGAAGCCGAATTACGTTTGATAAGATATAGCCAACGTTTCTATTTTTCTAACGAAATATCTTTTTGCAGCGCAAAAAAGCCTCTCCCACTTCGCAGTAGCCTTTTGCGCTTAGAGCCGTTTCTCGACAAAAACGATGTCCTACGTGTTGGAGGTAGGTTAAAACACGCTGAGGTCTCACCTGATGTAAAGCATCCAATCATCTTGCACAAGAGCTGTCCGATAGCAAAGTTAATGATCTCCGACATACATAAGTTTACGTTACACGCTGGGCCTCGTATAATGCAAGTCATTTTGCAACGCCGATATTGGGTTATCGGTGCTCGTGGCCTGATTCGTAACGTATATCACAAATGTATTAAATGCATATGTTTGAATCGAAATCTTGCTATGCAATCGATGGGAGATCTACCCGCTTCCAGAACCAACTACGCTCGTTGTTTCACTCGCTCTGCGGTGGACTTCGCTGGTCCATACATGTACAAGTTTACGCACGGCAGAGGAGCGAAGTCTACTAAGGGTTATATTTGTTCTTTTGTGTGTATGTGCACTGGCGCTATGCACTTGGAATTGGTTGGTGACTTGTCAGCGCCAGCATTCCTCAACGCCTTTAAAAGATTCGTTAACCGCAGAGGATATTGCAAGGTCATGTTCTCTGACAACGGCACAAATTTTGTCGGCGCTGAAAAGGTTCTGCGTAATAATTTTCAACAATGTATGTCAGATGAGAGACTTCGTACATTTTTTGCTGATTCGAACATCGAGTGGCGTTTCAATCCACCGGCTGCACCCCATATGGGAGGATACTGGGAGACAGGTATTAAGCGGATAAAGTATCACTTGAAACGTGTTTTGGGCGAAACTTTGTTATCGTATGAAGAGTTCAGTACGCTACTGACAGAAGTGGAAGCCTGTGTTAACTCCCGCCCACTATGTGAGAGCTCGACAACTGCAGGAGACCTCGAAGTTCTAACTCCTGGGCATTTCATAATTGGTGAACCGCTGAAGTCGATCCCAGAGCCTGAGGGTCAAGGGTTCTGGGGTAATCTTCATCAACGATGGCAAGCAATATCAACGATCAGACAACATTTCTGGCGCCGTTGGAGAGATGAATATCTGACAAGTTTACAGCGTCGATCAAAATGGTTTCGACCTACACGTAACTTTAAAGAAGGCGACGTGGTCGCTGTTTTCACTGAGAATACTCCTCCGACGAAATGGGTACTTGCTAGAGTCATCAGATGCCACCCTGGAGCTGATGGACGTGTGAGAGTGGTCACATTGAAGACACCAAACGGGGAACTAGTTCGACCGATTGTGAAACTGTGCCTTTTGCCGACGAAGGGCGACTTGTTCTACGAAGAAGACTCATAGACTACATATGTAGATATGCGTGCGACAACGCATTAACTTATGTATTTTGTATTGTTTGCTAATTTGCTTAATTTCGCCATAGTATAATTGTTATTTCTGTATTGAACGCATCAGGATAGTTCAAGGGCGGCGGTATGTTGAGTTCGCTTACGCTTATTGTAAAGTTGTAATATGTATATCA